CCCTGGGAAAATTCACATCAATGGTACCTTCTCAGACTTGGGGGAGGTAACAAGTGAGGTACCCCAGGGTTCAGTCCTGGACCCAGTGCTGTTCCACATTTTAATTAATGATTTGGATGAGGAACAATTCTCAGATTTGCGGATGACACAAAACTAGGTGGGATAGCGAATACCCTGGAAGACAGGGAAAAAAATCAAGGTGATCTTGATAGGTCGGAGCGCTGGGCGGAAAACAACAGAATGACGTTTGATAGGGACAAATGCCCAAGTTCTGCACCAAGGAAAAAGAAACCAGACGCATCACCAGAAGATGAGGAATACTTGGCTCAACAATATTGGCTGTGAGAAGCATCTTGGAATCGTTGTACGTAGGGACAAGCGGAATAGAAGTTGACAAAGTGATGTGGCTACAGAAAGGGCAAACGCTATTTTAATAGAAGGATCGCTTCCGGATTCTGTGAAATTCTAGGTCACCAGATTCCAGATAGGTCTCAGGAATATTTTCCTGGGTGTTAGGCCAGTACGACAATGGAATAAAGGACCAAGGGAGGTGGAGGGCTCTGGAGGCATTCAAGGTGCAACTGGGCAGCCTTCTGGGAAGGATGGTTTAACTGGGAGTCCTGCACTAGCAGGGGATTGGACTCAGTGGCCCTCTGACCCCTTCCAGCTCTACTGTTCTATGATTCTATAATGATAAAATATTCCAACTATTTAGATGCCAAGGGTTTTATGCGGTGGCACCCCAACTGTGGAATGCGCTCCCCAGAGAGGTTCACCTGGCTCCCACTTCATATGTTTATCGGCACCAGGTAAAAACCTTTTTATTTACCCAGCACTTTAAAGATTAAATAATTTTAATCTGGTTTTATATCCTCAGTCACATTACATCTTGTTATTTAGTTGCACACTGTTTATATTTATTGTTTATTTATATTTTTCTGTAATCTGTCCTGAGACAATTGGTTGTATAGGATGGGATAAAAATGTTCGAAACAAATGAATAGACTTCGGATGGGTTCAGTTGTGCATTTGAGGATGCATGTAAGTGTGCCAACTCTGTGCTTTTTACGAAAAAGCGAGTCCCACATGACATTTTAATCATCTGCTTAATCTCCAGAAGCAAATAGTTTACAGCTTTGCATTCGGAAAATACGCTCTATAAGAAAGGGGGGAAAAGACGGGGGGAAACAGCCCAGTAAAATTATGGTTTTATGATAACATCGCAGATGAATTACAGTTGCTCTACTAGAGTTATGATGGCCAAGCAGATGCTGAGGCTAAAATTGTTTCTCAGGCTGTTCCCTCTGCAGCAACTGTGACACCTGCTAATGTTACAATTGCATAGTTAAATGTCTTCCGGTATTTCTTTTGTAAACATTCTTTTGGAGAGATTTATAAACCAGCCATAAATATTGAGCCAGGGATGAAATGTAGCACAGAAGGCCTTAAAAACGCTGTGAGAAAAGCATTCTGCCATTTGGATTTCAAAGCCATGCTGGCAAGATTCGATTGTTGTGTCTATTTGCTCATTTTTGGACTCACACGTGGGCTGTGCCGTTCACTTGTTCCAGTAATCTGGGACCGTTGTCTAGTTCGACGTTCTTACAGGATACGCATCTGATGGCCCAGACGACAGGAGACAGGCATAACAACCCCAGTCTGAAGTCATGCGCTGGGACAGCTCAACCCGGAGTAATGAACGGAAGACCCCTGAGAAGGTTTGACTTCCTCAAATTTCCACCGAGAGCTGAGCGGATTCCCTTTCGTTTTTGGCAGAATCTGGTGGTACCGGCTGACCCAATGTGGGACCCGACTGGTGAAGACAGCAAACAGGCACTGGAAAGGTGGCTGGCTTGCTGGGGGAGCCATGTGAGGAGAGACGGAGGGAGCCGGGTCTTTTCAGCCTTGAGAGGAGGAGACTCAGAAGGGACCTGTTAGCAATGTCCATGTGCCACACAGAGGTGGGACATGACCTTTTTTCCTCTGCAATGGAGGGCAGGACACGTTTCAATGGAGCAGAGCTCAGGGAACCAAGATTCAATGTGGATGCCACGGAGTACTTCCTGACAGTCAGGACCCCGAGGGTGTGGAATGGGCTTCCATGGGAGGAGGTTGAGGCCCCATCGGTGAGGATGTTCAAGGATAGGCTGGACATGCACATGGTGGGCATGTCGTGAGCGGAGCTGGCTGGAGCCGGGGGTCAGACTAGATGGCCCAGGAGGCCCCTTCTGACTCACTCTGTTCCTGTTTCTGAGACCTGCCATAAAAATTTGCAGTATGAAGTGCCTTTTCCACTGTTCCAGTCAGTCACTACAAGGGGGAGCTGCCCATGGGACTCCATCCCATGGCAAGATGAGGGGGACGCGTTCAGATTACCCACGGGCACCCTATTCTTAGTGTTTCTACCTTCTAAGGTGAGGACTGTGCCCCTCATGCCCTGTTTTGTCCCTTCGCCCATGACAACCCCTTTTCAAACAGTTTACTTAGCTTCCTGTCTGATGGAGCCCTAAATTAACCATTTTTGCCTGGGCTGAGAGCAAAGCGATTGATTTGTGGCTCCCTTTAATTTAATTTTTATTTTTATTATTTTATCTTGCATTAAGCTTGCCACAAGAATGGTTGATTAGCAGAAGCAGTGCTTAAAAAGCATAATGCCCAGTTCCAGTCCACTTGCACTGGCTTTCTGTTTGTGTCTGAGCTCTGTCCAGCCTATGAAGCCCCACGCTGCATGGGACCACCAAACTTGATGCAACCCCTCTCCCAGCCACAATCCGTGCAGATTCTGCACTCAGTGTCTGGGCCTCAAGAAGAGTCTAAGAGGACAATAACGGGAGACAGGGCTTTCTCTGTGTGGCCCCCCATCCCTGTAATGAGACCCTCCTGGTGCCGACCCTGTCTAATTTTCAGAACCAGGTTAAGCCATCCAGTTATGGCAATGCTTTTAAAGATGCACTTAGATATGCCAGGACTTGAATGGATTACTTATCCCAAATGCTGTGAAGCGAAGCGAAGCAGGGCTATTCGTCATGTCCTGTTTTCAGCGGCTTTTAATGGCTTGCTTTAAAAAGTTTGCATTTCTATGAGATTTTGCGGCATTCCTTGTATTTGACTGTACTGTTTTTATGAGCTGTTACAAACCACCCAGAGAGCTTCAGCTATTGAGCAGCACAGAAATCAAATGAATAATGACAGTGATGACAGCAAGACTGAAAAAGCAAAAAGCAAAAAAAAACCCTCCCAAAACAAAAGCCGAAACCTGGCCATCTCAACTCTGCAAAGCATGCCAGGGCTTCAACCCAGCTCCCCCTGGGGCCACACCCCTCCCTTGGCCACACCCACTTTCCTGACTGCTGTTGGCTAGATGGTTTCCCTGCTTTTCTTCAAGGTTGTTCTCCGCCATCCCAAGAGGCTGCAATGCCTCCTCTTTTACCCTCGTCCCTGCACACCCCTGGAATACCCTGGAATACGGCCCCCTGAAATCTCCTCCAGAACTGACTTCAGTCCTTGGGAGGTTGAGCACCCTTGAGGCAGATACGTGTTCCCCCCGCACCTGCAGGTCCCCACCCCTGCTACCCCTGAAAAGTATAAAAACATATATTGCAGGGGGAACGAGGCAAGCGGAAGGGTCCTTGGCTTCTGCGTAGTCCTTCACTATGACAAAGCACCCAAAGGGTCATCACCAGCTTTCAAGAGTGGTGCCACCACCACATGGGAGGGGGGTGCCCCATGGGAGTGCCCAGGACAGGGGTCCAAAGTGGCCAGAGGTGCCCAACGCTGGAGGGGGCAATGCCCTCCGGGAGCAGCCAGTGGGCTGAGTCAAGGAAGCTTCCCTGCTGGCCATGGACCAGAAACCCATGGCTGATCGCTTGCTTTGCATCCAGAGGGTGCCTGGCTTGTTCCTCGGCTCCTCCAGGTTACGGCTGTCTGAAACCCCAGAAAATGTAGCCGGCGGAGACAACGCCCAGGTAGACTGACTGATGGGGCTGACCTGGCGCCCTCCAGTCCTCACCTTTCCCCCTGATTTTCCAACCCAATTTGCATGCATGCAGCTTCCTCCCAGAGCTACTTCCTGGGGGAACGGCTGTCTGCAAAGGAAGTAAACAGCCGTGTGTCATGCACCTTTTCGGGAGCCCTCCCCCCCGCCACCGCTCATAATGACACCGTTGAATGATATGCCTTCTCTTTGACATCACCAGTTGGAAAGCACCAAATTGGGGCGGGAGAGAAGCCGAGGGAGAGAGAAAGAGACGATCAAATGGTTGCCGGATTGGCATAAACTTATCAGGCTAATTCATCCCCAAGATCGGGCCACACAAGTAGCTTTGTGCCCACGAGCTGTTTCTACTTCCCTCCTTGACACCAGTCCCTCCGATCGCTCTGTCCTGCCTCCTTTGAACACTCTTTCCTTCTCCCTGCTCATTCGCAGAAACGGATGTGCATTGTCTTCAGAGCCCCACAGGAATTCTCCTCCCAAAGTGGGTTGATCATTGCACTATGGGGTCAGGTTTCGACCCTGAAACGAGCGTGTGGCCGGGACGGTGGGAAGAGTCATTAACTCTGCATTGTTTACTTTTGTCACATTAGGAACCTCGATGGCGAGCAACGCTCCTGCGCGTCTCGCTCAGCCGGGACCACCCAGGGAGACGCAGCGCCTCGCTACCGGCTATGTAGACCCAAGTTCAAAGGTTCACGGGAGACCTTTCCCACATCTTAATCAGTTAGTTGCTGCCTGTTCCTACAGCGGGAGACCACAGGGCAGGGGGTGGGATGGGAAAACAAAACCACAGGGAATCTTATTCCGAGGGACGGGCTGCTTGGGACCCAGCGACTGGGGAGGGGGGAGAACGAGAGATGGAGAGAGAGTACAGGGGAAAGGGGGGCATGGACAGACCGAGGGAGGAGCAGTGCTAACCAAGCATCTCTGCTCCACCTCTCTCTCTCTCTCTCTCTCCCCTTCTCTCTCTCTCTCTTTCAACAGGAGCCGAAAGAGGACCAGGAAAATGTTTGACAACACCCAGTACCCCTACAACTGCTTTAATTATGATGGAGATGAGTATCCAACCTGCAGCTCGGATGAGGAGAGAAGGTTCACCAGACCGGCATACAGGTAAGTCCAACTTTTTCCAAGTCTCTTCTCTGTTCATTCTCTTTGCATGTTGTCAGTTGCTGGGGAATTCCACCGCAATTTATTTATTTTTATTGTTTAATTTTTTTTGTAATAACTAACTGCAACCCGATCTGCAGGTGTGAGCAGAAAAAGGTACATAGTGCAATCATTATCATCATATCATGCTGCTGGTGTGTATGGGGGGGATAAACTTTTATGCATTTCAACGGTTTACATATCTTTCAAATCAGAGCAAGGAAAACAGAGTTTGGGACATTGAGTCAGTATGGACATAAGGTTTATGGAGGTCGTCAGAGAAATATAATGAGCACTGTAGAGGACTTTTTAGAGCTCCCAAGTTATATTCGGGATATTAGAAATGATGTAACTCATGGAATTATGGCAAACTTTACTTCCTGGAATTCCGGCTTCCCTGCTCTCTCTTCCTAGGCAAAGATATAGTAATGAATTTGTCTTAAATGTATTGGGTACTAAATCAATTGCCGTAGACAAGCTTGCAGGTTCTAGCGATTTCTCAGTATCCTATTTCTCAGTCTTTCAGCCAACTTCAGTATTTTTGGTGGCTTGCTCCTCTTCCATTACATCAATTGATTGATTAATTGATTGATTCAATTGGCAATTACTGACCGCTGAGAACAGGCACATTTCCAAAATGTGAAGAAAATGTCAGGTTCATTGCCATTTACTCAAGAAAAGCACATTCCAAAATCTATCAGAACATTGCCTCTTAATATAAACACTGACTATATTTTCTCCAACATTAATGTCTGTTGAGGCAGTTCGTATTCGGTCCTCTCGCTCAGCCTCAAAATTAAAAATCCAAATGCTGCCAATAAAGATTAAGCAGCTGAGGCTGGAGTTAATTAATCACGTTGCTGCTGATTAAAACCCATCTTCCTATTGGCCATGCAGAGAAATTCTTTCTTCCTGTCCCAGGAAGGTCACTCCCTTGGATGCACTCATGCGGGAGTGTGACCCATAGAACCCTATGGCACAGTGTCCATCAAAGTAAATGGGCAGAACTGAGTAGCAGTCCGCCCTGGGTAGCTTGCTATAAGTCAGAGATATTCAAGCGCTGACGTGATGGTCATCCATGAGTCAGATGCATTTTTAGCTTGGAGAAACTTTCTGTTTCCAAAGTTGCAATCATGCCTAGACACGTTTTAAAAATGGAAGCCTTTTCGTCTGAGCCGAATGGAGAGCGCAGCTTGGTGGAGCTGCCAGCAGAGAAAGCCTTTTTTGTACTGGGTGACTCTGTGAATACCCAAGTAGGGATACTTTCCTTCTATCGGAAGGATAATTAGCAGCCACGTTACCTCTTTTCACCAAACATGTCAGGGCAGCCGTTGCCACGACACAGGCTGAGGGGAAACCCCCAAGATCTGAAGCGGAGGGAGAGCTTCATTTCAGGATGTACTTTTGAAAGAAATGCATTTTGCACGCCTTTGTCTCGGCAGCTGCCCTGGGATGCAAATTATTGCTCATTCCCAACTTTGCAGACTAGGAGGTCCAAAGCATGATTGGAACATGAATCCATTAGGACTGCCTGGGTGGATCTTAGGACGCCGTTTGGGTCTTCGGGGGTAAGGTGCACTTACAGCTCTCAATCCTTCAAATCACCTCCTTGGAGAGACATTTTAAGGAAGAAATGAAGACATTTTAAGGAGGAGGAGGAGGAGGAGGAGGAGGAGGAGGAGGAGGAGGAAGAACTTGTTGAGGGCAGTGGGCAGAGTGGTGTAGCACCATTGTAAAGTGCATGAACTCTGAGCTCCCGGTTTGCTGGGCTCCATAGGTGGCCTTTGGGGACAGTCATTGGATTGGGTTGGACAGCACAATACTCTGCATTCAAGGGTTGAATGTAGGTTGTATTAGAAACAGGGGTTATTGTTTTGTCGAAACCCACCAACACTAAAATCCATGGCTTGTTGTTGGGTTCTGAACTGTGGGTTGTTCACTATGGTTTGTGATCTTGGCTTGGTTCAGATGGCACAATAACCCATGTTTCCACAACAATGCATGGCTCAACAGCAGCTCAGTCTTAACCCAGTTCAACCCTTGAGCATAGGAAATGATGTTTGAACTCAGTCCATGATGAGAGAGACACAGGTTCCAAATCCGATTCAGCCATGAAGCTCACTGAGTAACCTTGGGCTTGACCTACCTCACAGGGCTGTTGTAATGCCAAACTGTTGGTGGGGGGAGGTGGGAGATGGATGGATGGATCAGATGGTGGTGTTATCCTGTCTTGAAAGAGTGCTGGAATTCCGGGTGCCCTCCAAAATACAGTCTCATAATTCCTGACCATTCTCCAGGTGGCTGTGGATTATGAGAACTGTAGTCCAAAACATTCCTATTTGCCTCTCCCCATTGTAAGGAATTAATGTGAAATAATATGGGGATCATAGAAAAATGCATATAGATGGTATGAGGTCTATTTGGACTAAGGCCGTACTCCTAAACAACGTTTATTTATTTATCATATTTACATCCCGCCTTTTTCTGTGCAATCAACTCAGGGTGGATTATATAATTCTTCTCTTCCTCTCCATCTTATCCTCATAATGCAGCTCTGTGAGGCAGGTTGGGCTGAGACTCTGTGACTGGCCCAAAGTCACCCAGTTGGCTCCATGGCTGAGCGGGGACTCGAACCGAGCTCTCTGGAGTCCCAGCCTCACACACTTACAAGGGAGTAAATTACACTGATCACAATGAGACTTGCTTCTAAGAAAACACACAGAGGAATGATGCTACACATCTGTAACCCTTCACAGTATCCCCACTGCATCCAGTGGGACACGCCACAGCCATGACTGTCTCTCCACATGTGCTCTGATGGAGTCTTCATCAGTGCAATCCAGCACATCTTTACTAGCAAGTAAGTCGTACTGTGTTTGGTGGGCTTTACTTTCTGGTAAGTATAGTTCACCTGGATCCGACTTTCTGGGTGTCCTCTAGGACTCCACATTTACCCTGATTCATACGCCCTTAGCAGTGGTTGAAGCCCCAGTGGTGAGGATGTTCAAGGATAGGCTAGACATGCACATGGTAGGCATGTCATGAGCGCAGCTGGCTGGAGCCGCGGGTCAGACTAGATGGCCCCATGGACCCCTTCTGACTCGCTCTGTTTCTGTGTACATGGCAACTGTCTTCTTCCTCTCTTGCAGCTACATTGCTCTAATTGCCATGGCCATCCAGCAGAGCCCTTCCAGCAAAGTGACGCTGTCTGGCATTTATGACTTCATCATGAAGAAATTCCCCTACTACCGGACGAACCAGCGAGCCTGGCAGAACTCCATTCGTCACAACCTTTCTCTCAACAGCTGCTTCGTCAAGGTAAGACGAGCAAGAGCTGCGAACAGGTGGGGGGGGGGTCCGTTCGGCACAGGCACTGTGTGTGATGCTAGGCTGGGATCGGGGTTCGCAAGGGGGTGCTCTCTTACGTGGCGTTTGCCCCAGGACCCCAATATCAGATTCAGGGCAGTTTTTGCCACTTTCCCTGCACAGAATTCTTATTTCTTTCTTGTTCGATGCAGCCCAGTAGGCACTGCTCCCTGGGAAGTTTACAAAGATTAGCACTTTAAAATATAATTGCATGCAGAGTCTAAAAAGGTTTACACACACAATTTTAACCCACCCCCCCAGGGAATCCAGGACCTTATCATATGCTGCCAAATACCAGAGTAGAGGAAAGTCTTAACCGGGCTCCAAAAGTAGAGTTTTGTTGGTGCCAAGCAGACCTCCTCTGGATTGTTCTTCAGCTCAGGGGCTACCACCAAGAAGGCCCCGTACCTGGGGGTGGGGGGGAGCCTGGAGGAAGGCCTTAGATGATGAAGAGTGTATGGACAGGTATGTGCATGCCAGGAGAGGCGCTCTGAGAAGTACTGCAGGCCCAACCCATTGGGAGCATGGAAAGTAGGTCTTGTTGTCCAAGTTTGTACGGTTCCATGGCACTCCCCTTTGATTCCAGTTTTGCAGCATTGTGCTTTTTTAAAACACAAGCACACGTATTTGCAAAAATTTTACCCCAAAAACTGAATGCAGAGAATTGCAGAATAGTAAAGGTGGAAGGAGCCAGAAGGCCGGCCCCCTGCTCAGTGCTGGACTCCCAGTTAAACCATCCCTCTCAGGTGGCCGCCCAGTGCATGCACACACAGATCCAACTTGCATGTAAGTGGGTTCTTCAAAAGCTTTCTGCACTTTTTAAAGCTCCATTTACTGAGAATTCCAAAAACAAATTACATCGCTTTCCTACATAGTCACCTCCTTCGCGATGCATTGTTCCCAGTGTCGTATCGACTTTGTCTGGGGCGACTTTAGAAAAGTGTGGGATACAAAGGAAAATTCAACTCCAATTCCCCCTGACTTGGGGGGGGGGGGCGGGCATCTTTTAATTGGAGAGGCCAAGGATTGGATCTGGAACAAAACATGCATTCCACCACAGAGCGGTGTTTGAAGCCCTCTCAGGATGGAGCTCTGTGGACCAGGGAATGCCCGTCCTGCACTTTACAACCCCTGTTCCCTAACGATTGTTCCCCAAGCAATGCATCATGCTCTCCCCAGAAAGCATAATGCTGAGGGGCAGCTTTTATACAAATCGAATAAATAAACAAATACTTAATTTTTTCTATGCTCCTCTGCTATGCCAATGGCTTCCAGGAAGCAGCCATTATGCTCAAGGGTACAGGGGTTCAGACAGCACTGGTTGTGTCCCAGGAACACATCAAGGGCGCAGCCGGTGCTGGGATGTGGGGGACACACAGCCCCCACTCTTGGAAGCTCTCTGATTCAGTTCCTAATTCCCATAGTCATTTTTTAATTAGGCTTCATTGTTGTTATTGGCTGGTTGAGGAATATAACAACAACAAGAAGAAGACAGAATTGTGTATCATATAAAGTATCAGTGTACAAAGTTTAAACAAGCTAGAACCATCCTAGCTAGCATCTCAATGGTCATAGGAGCATAGGAGGGAAGTCACTCCATCCTCGGAGCTGGGGCACTGTGTCAAAGTCCCAACATCCCCCTGGCAGCCAAGACCAAGGCAGGGTGATCTCCCAGCATCACCCAGCAACTCAGAGTAGGGGCTTCGTGGGCATCCTGGGGATCAGGGACGGCATCAGGAAGTAGGTTCCCCCTTCACACTTTCAAAACAACTGACTGGACTTTGGCAAAGCTCTTTATTCTCCTGTGCATGTGGAATAAGCCCAGTCGCCACAGAATGAGTCTCTGTGCATGCACAGAATGGTTTGCTGAAGCTAATCCAGCAACTACTTCCAAGAACCCTCCTTCCAAGTAACCCTGGTCCCCTCCCACCTGAAGGTCCCTTTAGAGGCAGGCAAGCCTCTTCTCTGAATGCCTCCCTTCAGGCTGGCCAGACCGTCTCTCCCAACACCACGTCATGGAGTCCAGAATCATGCCAGGCTCATCTGGCCCCTGCCTACCCAACACCTATTCCTGGTAGTTGCAGGTCCCAGCTATTCTCAGAGTCCACCTGAACCCTTGGAGCAGAAGGCTTTGAGACAAGCCCATCTGCCTCTTCCATCTCATTTCCCAGGGCCCATCCTCCCCATCTGCAAAGTGTGAATCTCCCTGACCTTGAAACACTCACCAAACACAACCGACTCTTTCACTCCAACAGAGAGGAGGAGATCAGCCCTTCCAGGAGGCAACAAAACCTGGTGGTATTTCAGCCCCCTTCACTCCCACTCCAAAGAACCTCAGACAGACAGCTAAAATGGACCATCTGGTTGGGGGGCAGAAGATGGCTTTCACCTCCACGTTCCTCCCACACTGCATGAGATACTCATGATCCTCTGGGTTCAGAGACTTCTGGGCATCCACAAAGGGTTGCACCCTCAACCAGTGGAAAACAATCCCAGTACCAGATTGCAACCCCATATTATATCCAATGTTAAGCCTTCTTGGAGTAGGAACTTCAGCCTAACATTGCATAGAACCCATTGAATGCAACCCACGGGCTCCATTTCAGGTGGGAAGGGAAAAAACACTCCAGATAAATCGACCATCCAGAATCTGGAGAGAAATGTGGAGGAGGATTTTTAGGACACATCCCTGATCTGAATCCAGCCAATAGTTTCCTTTGATGGACTTTGTAGTGGGGAAAAGCAAGCTGTGTTTCTGTAACACCACAGTTGGTCTTTTCCTCAAGAACCCCCTATAAGCCTTAGAGGGGGTAATTTGGAAACCTAAATTGGGGACCGTGGAAGGAGGAAAATTAAGGATGAGCAAATGCAGCTTGTTTAAAATAACTCTGTCAACTTCTTTTCTTTTCCTGGAAAAGAGAGAGAGAGAGAGTGTTGTTCCTCTCTGAAGTGTGTTAGTACATAGCAAATTGAAGGAGCTATTTACCTAGGACTTCTATAATTAGAGAGCATGGAATTCAGTAGCTTGTCATAGATGTTTATGCGAGTCTTGCATTTAAATGGACACAGATGTGGAAATGGCAGCATTTCGCGAGGACACGCACACAAGTCTTCATTTCAGCCCAAGTTCAGCTATGGGATCTGTTCTGAGTGGTCAGACTCAGACTTAGAGCATCTGATGGGGATGGGGGAGGTGATGATAGATTTCTGTGCATGTGCAGAGTGCATTTCCTTCCCCTCTAAGTCACTACAGCCCCCCCCCCCCTTATTAAACTCATCCTCCTGGGATAGGGGGGGGTGAAAATAGAAAGCCACTGCACCGGCTTTTTCTTGTGAAAAGACAAGAAGGGAACTGTTTGTCGTTGATGGAATTTCTGCTTTTGTCTGGCGTGCAGGTCCCCAGAGCAGAAGGCAATGACAAAGGCAAGGGAAACTACTGGAGCTTTGCATCGGGATGCGAATCCATGTTGGATCTCTTTGAAAATGGGAATTACAGGCGGAGGCGGAGGAGGAGGAATGTGAAAAGGGAGCCCAGAGAAAAAAGGTCAAACGGAGAGAGAGACTGCCTGCCTGTGTTGTCCGCGGTGGATGCGGGCTTCCCCCACATCGCCTGTCCTGGTGAGAGAATGGAATCCCAAGCTAAACCTCTGGAGCCTTGCGAGCTTTTTCCAAACACTGGCACAAGCCAAGGGAGTCTAAACAGCTCCTCCGTAGGAAAATCTGACTCCGAAATTAAATTTAGCATTGATTACATTCTCTCCTCTCCAGACCCTCTGCCTGTCCTGAGGTCTCCGTATCATATGCAAGATAATAAATTCCACCTCTTGGATTCACAGCAAATTAACCTTCAGTTTTGGACAATGTGAAGTCAGTTTGCAATGGAGGTTAAAGCAGGAAGCAGCTGCTGTCTCTTTTCTCATCCTAGACGCTCCGTGCGCATCCATTCATGTGGAAACTCACAGCCCCGTTTTTCTCGTTCTCAGTCTTCCTCGGGATGGAGACAAGCTGCTTCTTCGGTTCTCCATAGCTCATGATGAATGTTCTTGTGGTTGTGCCAGACTTGCCACGAAACCCTCGCACCACTCATGAATTTGGGAGAGGATCCGAGGCAGGGCTGGGTCAGCACAGTGGGGAGCACGTTGGCTCGATGACCCCCCCCAACTTCGTGCTTTTCTGGGTGCATGTCACAAGGGGAGGGGGACAACGTCTGTGCTCCAGCCAGCATCATGGGTTTAGGCCTTACTCCCATTGTGATCTCCCACAATGCTCCTAACATGGCAGTTGGGAACTCCGGGAAGGGAAAAGGATATTTAAGAAGGAACCCGAGCAAACATCAGTGGCTGGCCTTGCTGAGCTCCTGGGCCCATGCCAGTGGCCCAGGATGTCGGATGATGGGGCTAGCCCTGACCGACAGCACAGCAAAAGCAAAAGAGCTCAAGGCAGCCTTCTTTTTTCAAAAAAAGCCTCAACTGTTGCTACAGCTGGACAAACCTATCCATTTCAGTTTCTCTCCATTTCTCAATTTTCTAAACCCCAGTCCATCCCGTGTTTGAGAATTTCTTAAGTTCAGTTCATCCCAAACTTTGAGATGTTTTAATTTTCCAAAGTTTGCATGAACATTCGAAAATTTCTGTGTGCATTTTTCTAAACTACACGTATGCAGTTTTGCTTAGTTTGTGCACTTTGCAAGTGTTTTGCTAACGTTGTGTGCTTTTGAACAGTATTTCACCTCATATACATTTTCAAATGTATTTTTTGATCCAACAACTTCATAATTTGGAGAGGTCCAGTTTGCAGAGTGGGTAGAAAGTGTGCAATTAGCTTAAGCTGGCATGACATTGCAAATGGAACCAATCTTTTATCCATCTTTGTCTCTCGTTTACACGTGGCAGCATTGTATTCACATATGACCCAGCCTGTTACGTAATTCTTAAGGAATTACTTTAGGTTAGATTTGTCCCATAAATTGGCTTCTCACTTCAAAAGTCTTTTATAAAATCCTTTTCCTCTTCTCCCAGTCATTGCAGCTCTCAAATCTAATCCAAATCTGATTAAATACAAAGCACATGAACATGGCTATTGGTTGCAGCTTTGCTCAATAGAAATAGGACTTGCTTTTCAGAATTCGTGAGGTGCCACCTGGGGCTCAGCTCCAGCCATCCTGGGGTTCCAATATGGTTCTCAGGGGTTCGCCCAATGGCTGCATCCCCTTTCCCCACTTTCACCAGTCATTTGTGGGTTTCTTGGTTTTTGTGTAGTCTTTCTCCTCCATTCTAAAAGGTTGAATTGCCTTCCTGAAGGGTGAGTTTTATGGCCAGGAATGTTTTAAGTGGAAAATGTGTTGAAATTCAGGATAGGTTGGCTCTGTGCCTTTTGCTGTTGGTTCTTTCCCGTTCCAAAGGCAGCTGCTGAGAACAGGAATGGAATTTGGCCCTTGGGTTGCAAGAGGAACTGTGCCCCAGTTTAACTGGTTTAGCTGATGTTGCATCTCTGAAGGGGGGGGGAGTGGGAACTGGAAATTCTGGGAGGGGAGGTTCTGCCTCATGCAGGGTTTGCTGTGTCCTCACCAAAAGTCAGCTCTCAGGGCCCTTGGCAGGGCAACCATGGCGCTTACAGCGTTCTAAAATCAACAGATATGTCTGGGGAGGTTTGATGTCTCAGTGTCATGACTTTCTTCTGGACTTTGCCCTTTGCATACCCATAATTGCACTCCACCACTGAATTTAGGAGTTCCAGCTCTGAAAATCCTGACACTATTACATCAGTTTTACTAATCTTAACTTAACTTCCTAAGAATCAGTATGGATCAGTATGGATGTTCCGCACATTTGCCTCTTTTATTAGTTTTTTTATTTTATTATTTTTGAGTGGGGAATCATGACTTTAAAGGTACTGTTTCTAGTCCTCCCTTACCTTAAGAAATTGCACCAAACAAACCAAAAGTCTTTTACTGGAAATACTACGCATTTCTCTATAAGAACCGTCCAAATCCACTGGGAGTTTTGCTCTGTGCAACTTTGCTCACGGTTCTCGAGGCAGCCAGCGCACGGCATTCCAGTTTGTTGTCAATAATTTGGTCTGCCAAGATGGAACCAGTCCGAGCTGATACTGCTTAGAATGTTTGCTGAGACCATTTCCAAATAGGACTGGGAAAGAACATTTTTGGCTCCTCCTCCTCCTCCGATATATACTTACCAAATTGCTTACTTTCTTCCTAAACAGGCTGGAAAGAACTTAAGATAGCCAGACACCATCCATTCCGTCACCCACTCATTGCCAGAAGGGATTTTTTTCCCATGTCCCAGAATTGTTTTCCTTGCCGAAAATGCACTTCCAAAATATATAAACCCCCCTCCCAAATGCACACATTCACACCCACCCCCAGATGCACATTTTTATGTTTTAGCTATGGGGGGGGGCATTCCTTCTCGATCAATTGCATTTTCCACAAATGAATTTTGGTAAAATTCTGGAAAGTATAAAAACCGGGTGCACACTGTAGCCAATGTTTCTGACATCCATGGATAGACCAAAGGGCAGCTCATGGGTTGTGCGAGGACTGATTTAGGACAGGGGAAAGGTGTGAGGAAAAGAGTTGGATGTGCCAGCTGAGCATTACTCTACTTTGCCCCTAAAAGAACATGTGGGATTCTAGCGCCAAATGCCTTTCAGAACCAACACAAAATCAAACCTCTTTCAGCCCAAGGGCTGAATTCAGTTTTGGAGAAACTCAAGCACGTTCCCTCAGTGGGTAGAGACAAAGTTAGAAAGGGGCAAAGCCAAAAATGCTACCACTTTAAGCTTCAGGCTCCTGCTAACCTGTAACTAAGCTACAGGAAAAGCATTTCAATGTTTACAAGGGGGGAGAAACTGCAGAAGCCAAGACCTCATCAAAAGATTGGGTTGGAAGAAAGGTGGGAGGTGTTGCTCTAGGGGAAGATAGGAGTTGTTGTTCAGGGGAACCAGACTGTTGCCCTGGGTAGAACAGCAGTTTGTGTCCCAGTGGAAGGCTCCAGACTCTTGCTTTATGAAGATTTCCTTTCCCATTGTAACCAGTGTGAAAACTCTACAAAAAAATGAAAAGAAAAAACCGGATTGGACTAAAGCATCCTGAGAAGTAATTTCTCAGTCTGGGGCTGGAGTGAGGCAAAATTTGCTTCATTTACCGTGCAATATGGATCCCCCTTGCTTTGCCCTTTTGAATTCCTATGTGGGTTTGAGGCGTCAAAGAGGTACCTATATACACACATTAGGTAAAAAGTGTACAGTAACATGTATGGAATAGCCTGCCATTGTTCAGCATGTTTCTCTCAGTGCTGAGGATGGGTGAAACAGAGGGCTGTAGAAATTCACAGTATCTGAACTTTAGACTGAGGGGAGAGTCTGGGGGAAGAGAGCAAAGTGGCCCATTTCTAGTAGGAACCCATCCAAAAAGTGCAGTGAACTCCTGCTGGCAACGCCTAAGTCACTTCTTGAAATAGGTTGGTTGCTGAGGACACGAGTGGCCAACCCAGAAAATAATGCCGGCATTATTGGGACTTGTGCTCAGGTTATTCCTTTCCATGCTCGGCCTTCCTTGAGTGGCTTTGGGGGCACGGCCTCGGTGTGTTTCTTTCCTAAATGTGTCTGTGCACTTCTGAAAAGCAGGGAGCTCACCCAAGGCAGCTGGTACCCCGCTCTCCAATGTGGAGGGCCTGGGCAATGATACCTGGAGAAAGACATTCACTACTAGGACAAGTGATGCTTGTCCAGCATGCAGTATGCAAGCTTTTGGCTTCCACAGGTCTCTTCCTCGGAGAACCTTCGCAAGCGAACCAAACCCCGTCCTGCTTGACGTTCCATCCAGTCTGATGAGTCGAGGCATGTTTGGAAGCTTTCTGGATGGCAAACATGGGGGCCAAGTTGGATCTATTCCCACCAAATGTTCACTCCATATTGATTTAGGAGACAAAGATGGACAAAAGCAGAAGATCAGTTGATGAGTAGGTAACATCTTCATCATTTGTTCTTTGCACAGTTTGTTTTGTTCCGTGCAGCTGTGGAAAAGGTTCCTGTACATATGTGAGTACACATGGAGTGTTCCTGATAGCACCACTGGAGAGGCAGTGAGGTGTAGTGGTCAGAGCAGGGTGGGAGGGGGTCCGTGTTCAAATGCCCACTCAGTGAGGATGTGCACTGAATGACCTGCCATTGCCTCTCAGCCGGACCTACCTCACAGGGTTGTTGTGAGGAGTTGTATCTTGCCTAGAGCTCCATCCAGAACCATACCTTACGTTCTCAAAGTATTCATAGCATGGATGATGGACTTACCTTTTCCATCATGTCCAACTGTCCCAAGTCATGATGTCATTGCTCTGGTCCATGTTGCAACGCCAGCACTTTATGTCTTTCTCCGTGGTTCTGCTCTCTCTTTCAAGGAGCATATTCACCCCAGGTTGCAGCCTGGGCTTCATGGAAGCTCTCCATGGTGCTGAATTCTTCCCTGGACCGGCTGCAGCACCTTGGAATGCTCCCCAAAAATTCCGACTCAAACCCGTAGTGGATACACTGTCCCGCTAACAGTGGAGACACCATCTTGGCAACGTTACAGGGGAACACAAAAATGGAACATGCAGTGAGGTTTCTCTGCTGCGGTCCCTTCATTTGAACCCGTGCAGCTTCACTGACAGGCATTAGTGGTTCAAATTTTGTATGCAGCCATGCCTGGCACCCAACCTGCCTCCCCCTCAAATATTGAATATGACCGCATGTTACTGTTTGCCGATGCATGCTTCTGTATCTTTAAGCACCTTGCCATGTAGATGTGAATATCCTGGTTTTATATCTACATCTGTGACTGATTGTTTTATATGATGCCTCTGTCATT